CCCCAAAACCCCAAAACCCCAAAACCCCAAAACCCCAAACTCTAATAATTTTATTGTTTTTATATTATTTAATATAAATGAAATATTTAGGTTCGATATTCAGCAAACTCAAAGGCGCTGACATGTTTTCTTACAAGTTCACTCTGAATTTCAAACAGAAGAAGAACTACCACACTTTCATCGGAGCAGGGGTGTCCATCATCATCTGCATAATATGCATTTTGTATGCAATATTTCTGTTTAGTGCCATGTTTCAGCGAAAGAGGACATCTACTAATTCCGGAATCATCCGAACGGACAAGATTCAGGAACCTCTGAATGTAACTATGAACGATGAAGGAATCTACATTGCACTCAGTGCGAGAGCCGGCAATGCTTCAGGAATTGATGCTATTGAAGAAGGGATAGTCAAAATAAGATTAGCAGGGATAAAATTTAAACTCAATCGTTTGGTTAACTCTGAAGGAGGAATCCCTGAAATTTCAAGCGAAATTCATAAATGTAATCAAACATCTTTTCCTTATGACCCTCAAATCTCAACCAACAGGCTTGAAATAAATTACCCTCTGTATTGTTTCGATAGAGCTGATCTGATGAAATTGGTGTATCGAGACTTTAATGAAGGTGATAATATCCAATTTGCATTGCTAAGTGATGTTTGACCTGGGAACAGCTGAACAGAAGACCAAAAAGAGATTGCTGAGAGCCATCCTATAGAAATTAATCTGCTTGTGCTCAGCAAGTACTATGACTCTTCAGACCCCATAAACCCTGTAAAGACATATGTCCAGAACGATTACTCATTCTACATTCCAAAAGGGAAGCTATCATTTTATAATTATGACTTGGTTAGAAACCGATACAGCATTAGCGACTGGGACTCAGTGCTTCTTGGGGAGAAGTCTGGAGAATTCTATGACATCGAACAAGGAAGTAACTATTTCGGAGAGATACAAACTGGAGGAACCGGTCTTTCTATTTTGTTTAAAGTCTCAAGTGTTATCAGGAACTATGAAACAAGCGTTATAGGGTTCCTTGATGTGTTCGGTCAAGTCGGAGGTCTCTTTGAAATACTGTTCCTGTTCTCCTCCATATTGGTCAAAAGAGTGACTGAGGTATTATACAAAAGAGATATCAATGCAACTGAAAGCCAAATCAAAAGAGGCGATGGGTGGTTTTCTTATCCATCACAATCAGAAAAAGCTGGTAGAAACAAACAGAAACGTAAAAATAAAAGAAAGAGGTTCAATGATTTAGCTCCTTTGCTATTCCCAACATTTAGAAATCAAGTAATGCTTAGAGAGCAAAGAAGACAACAAGAAGCCATTGACAGGAGCTTAGTTTATCAAGAAGAGCAACCTGTGGTCAGTAAACTCACTGAAATACAAAATATTCGGAAGGAGATTAGGCTTCATGACCAGCTCACACAAGAATTAGATATCGTGAATATATCTCAGTCGTTGGGGGAACTCAAAATGTATGTAGGATATTTACTTGACAAAGACAAACAAGGGAATAATAATCTGCATGGCACCCACTCTAATAATCCAAACAGCATTTAGCGACAATAGACAGAGTAAACTACTGGCTTCCGTCAGCAAGAATCCACCTCTTCCTCATAGTCCAATCAAGGAGAAACAGAGCCTCCCCCTTAGAGATGAGGAAGAAGGACTTTGAAACATGGAAGAAAGCAAACATTGTATTCAAGAAAAAAGGCCTCCACATATATTAAGGAAGTCTATGTTTGATTACGACCGAGTTCCACTATCAAACTCAGGTTATAAGAATAGAGAAGCTTAGACAAGTTTAGACAAGAGGTTGGAGTATTATTAAATTCCATTTTATTTAGAAGTCAATCCAAAGAGATTATAACGGGGTTTTGGGGTTTTGGGGTTTTGGGGTTTTGGGG